CAAATGCCCCCGTACGGCTGAATGGATTGAAAAACTGTGGCACATATACTCTATGGAATACTATTCAGCCATTAAGAACAATAAAACCCTGGCTTTTGACAGAAAGTGGAAGAATATGGAAGACTTACTGCTGAGTGAAGCAAGCCAGGCTATGAAGGAGAAACACTATATGTCCCCACTTAATATATATACCGAATGTCCGCACTCTATAACTGAAATGGACGGGCTATAGGATGTACAAACACAAGAGATGGATGTTAATGCCAGATGTGGTGTGTGTGGAGGAGTGGGGCCTGGGGAAAAACATTTGGAGGAGGGATACGAAGACAGCATTGTTGAGACAGAGAGGTAGTGTTGTTATATTTTGATCAACTCGACCGGGGAGAAATGTTCACATATTGGAATGAGCACCTTGTAGGCTAAATAATGTGATTGAATGTATTAAAAAAATGTAAATAAAAAAATAAATTTAACTCACTGTATAAACATGGGGATTATAAATAGAATGAGTAAGATTCCTCAGGAAAAGCATCTTAGTTTCAAGTCAGATCTCTAAAGAAACAAAGTCTCACCAATGGTAGTGAGGACAGAATGACAACAAGAGGTGGCAACACACCCTAGATGTGGAGAAGACCAGGATGAAATGCAGGGAGGCAACAAAGAGTAACCATGCCTCAGAGATAAGAAAGTGTCACGGCTTAGGTGGCGAACCTATGCTGAATATTAGAGAGAGAATGTGTAGACATGTGCTATAGTTTACATAATGGTTTGCCCCCAAAGGTTCATGCTTTGGAATTTGGTTCCCAGTGTAATGGCACTGGCAAGTGACAAGATCTTTAAAAGGTAAGACCTAGTGGGCCATGTTTGGATCATGGAGGTATCACTCTGTGTGTGGATTATTGCTGTCTTACAAGATGGGGTGAGTTCTAGATTTTGTGAAAAGAGATTAGTTCCTGTGACCATGGATTATTATAAAGGAAGATGGCTGACCACAGGTCTCTCTTTCTGCCTGTCCCCACTATCTTCTGCTTCTGTTCTCCATGTTGTGATGTATCACCAGGTGCCAGCCTCATGCCCTTGGACATCCTAGCCATCAGAATCATAAGCCAAATAAACCTTTATTCTTTAAAATCATCCTGTCTTGGGTATTTCTATTGGCAACACAATGGAGAAGTAAGAAAACTTGCTAATGATACCATTAGACATTAACAAGTAGAAGAAACTGCTGACAGTGTCTGTCTTCAACCTCCAAGAAACATATAAAACTCTTGAAATCCCAGATGCCTAAACTGTACACAACCCAATCCTTTCACGTTTTCTCCATTTTCTTCTGAAGTTAAATGATCAACAAAACTTTGAATACATTACCTCAGTGGCATCCTTTAGATAATTAAAAATGGTTACTTCCAGGGCAAATTCTTCACCTCTGATAACAGAGTAGGGAAGGTTCAAAAAAATGAAAAATGGTTGGAAGGCCTGTAACTGGAAAGAGCACAATGAATACATATTTTTATTAATGTCAAAGTGTTTAACATTTTATACAATTAAAAGCAATCCTCATAACACGTGAGAAGCTTATAGCTTCATCTGGAAATGTTCACTTACCTATCAACAGAAAGCAAATAGCAACTTATCCCAAATGAATGATGGCAAATTGCCTTGACTTACATTATTGAACTTAACAATCAATACATTTTATTAAGTACTTATTAGGATCCAGGCATTTTATATAAATTATTTTATTTAATCATTACAATCCCTATGAGGATGGCATTATGCTACTGCTTAGTAGAAAAACAAAACCAAAAATCCAGAGATACATATAACCAGTACTAGCTTGTTTTGCTGGCAAGAAAGGGAGTCAGAACTGGATCCCAGCCTGTCTAATTCCAAAGACATTGACTATCAATCACCTTTCCTGTTTGAGGTTGGTGTGAGGAATCAAAATGTGTTAGGCCAGGTAATATTCTGCTTACTCCCTTCTACACACACACACACACACACACACACACACACACGAACACACCTTCTCCTTCTTGATCCTGCACTGAAGCATTAGCCAAGACATGTGAGGAAGCTGAACCCCTCCCCTGCCTCTGAGGTTAAATGCTGGTTAATTGGAACAATGGTCTTGCTAGTAGCAGCAAGTCCTTTCAGAGGTTTATTTAGACATTCATGAAGGTATCTTAGATTGTCACATGATTGGAGGGCACGATCGGCATGTAGTGGGTTAAAGTGCAGGATGCTCAGGACGGCCCCAAGAATGAACTGTCTCATGTTCCTCATAATTCTTGAATGTCTTTCCAGGCATTCATGTAGATAAAGTACCTATTGATAATAACTTCAGCTTATAATCTAATTCTAATTTATATATAAACCCAAAGCATTTTTCAATACACCGAATTTTTCACAAGTACAACTATTTTGTACATTGAAAGAAGGCTGAACCTTGTCTTGTCTGAAACTTTACTAAAAGTTGTTCACCATTTCAAGAATTTACATCACCATAGGCAATACCACTCAAGGTTTCTGAAATATGTATGCATCATGCTCCATTTGCAGCTCTTATACACAGGATGATTGTACACATGTCACAGAGAATAATCACATACTAAAATATCTATCATGTTAGTTATTCCTTTATTTTTATTTCTCTTTAGTATTTTACTTAAGGCATTACTTTTCTGTGTATGTAGGAATGCTATGCTTTCTATGAATTTCATTTCAGAATGGCAAAGTACAAGAGAAAATATCCGTAATAAAGAACAGGCTTCAGCTATAACAGAGGCGAGGACTACTGTTCGATGGCCACACACCGTCCTGATGCTCCTCTGGTCAGTGACTGGTGGAGGAAACGGGATGTAACACAATTTGAGATGAGAAGGGACATCTGCTAGAGGACATCTCGAGAAGTTCTGCTCATCCTTGCAGGACACACAGAAAACTTTGAAACTGGTAGGTTATTTCAATACTAAACTTTTCTATTTGAATCTTAATATGAACCTAGCACATTTAGCAGTTTGATACAGCTCATGTTCTTTTTTTTTTTTTTGTATGTATGTATGTACCTGCCTCACAGCTTTTCATGGGTAACAGTTATAGCAAATGTTTTACTGTTACATTATAGAAAGTGAAATGTTTCGAACTTCCGCTTTCAGTTTTAGTTTGCCAAACAACTTTTAAGTTAATGGTTTTTATTTTAGGTCCTTAATTTGATCAGAATCCAACTCCTGTTACCAGTATCTCTGGTTGTTTCAAGATAGGTAAGCCTTACGCTACATTAACAAATAATCCCAGAATCTCAGGTTTATTTTTCATCACGAAGGCTTTTTGTTTCTGTTTTTGTTTTTTTGTTTTTGTTTTTGTTTTTGTTTTTTTCCAGATTGAGAGGTCTTTCTGACAACTATTTCTTTTTTTTTTTTTCTTTCTTTGGAGAGGTTTTTGTTATAGGGCACATGTGCTCACCAGAAAGACAAAGAGAGACAGAGAGACAGAAAGCGAAAAATCATCCCCCCAGGGAGAATGGCCACGCCGCATTCCTTTCTTCTCCATTCTCCTCTCGGGATCTTGGGCACGCACACACACGCTCCTGGCGTTGAGTTTAAGGCACCGGGTCCGAGACTGGAACCACAGTCGACTATATGGGAGTTCAGCAACATAGCCATTATGCTAACTGCTGGTCCCATAATACAGCTCATGTTCTAAAATATAAAATCTTAGTCATTAGAAAAGTCAGGGCACATTTGTGCAAATAAAACCATAGAAAAATATGTCATGACTTTTCCAACAGCCAAATAGATGGAAAGTAGATAAGCAAAGCCAAGGAATCTCTGAACTGTGAGAAACATAATAAACGATCATTTTTTAAAAAAGTCTTTGAGTAGCTTAAACATTTTTTAGCTTCATGGCACTGTAACGTTAATAAGCAGTCCCTTAATTTGTTACCTCCACTGGAGCAGTTGTTAGTCCAAGACCTAAGTCCTCAGAGATCACAAACGCAGTAGCCACCCAAGAAGTGATAGAATCGGGTACGGTAACTTCAAATGTTTGGGACCTCCTGGAACTGAAGTTAAGAAAAGCATAAAAATCACAAACCCAGCAACTGACATATTTCTATATAAGTCCACATGACCTGAACTATTTTGGGGGAGAATTTTAATTTCCCTTATCATTTACATATCTACATTTAAAACCATTTAAAAGATTGTAAAGTCATACTGCATACTGAGCCATATTCTAATAAAATTTTTCTACAATGGTTATATCATCAGAATGAACACAAATTTTAAATAAACACTGTGTGGAGAGTAAGTACATTTTTCAAACTTAATTCTAATTTTTATCTTTCACTTTACAGTAAAGTTTTTCTCTGTACCACTGTCAATGCTGTAATTGTTTTTTTGAGACTCAACTCCTATTTTATTTCAAATATTTGTAAATGGCTTACTACAAAACAATGTATAGATTCTATGATGTACTTGCTCAGTTATCAAGACAGGTAGCACAGGTTTATCAGCTAAGCTGAATTCCTGTCACCACCATGCTCCTTGTCCCTGTGGCACATGAAAAAGTTTTATGAGGGGCAAGGTTCAGTTAGTAGTCATGCCACAAGGTCACAGAAGGTCATCATAAGTGTGTCCCACTCGCCACCCCATGGCAACACATGTATCCCAGCAATTTCTCTCTAATGAGAACCACAAGGTATCAAGAAGGTTAAAGTCACCCTTCATTTTTGAAAAGGTCTATCTTTTCCTTGATAATACTTTCCCATCACAATTTGCATATAACTTTATTAAATACCATATTCAGATTCTTAAACATCATTCTTGCGCCAGCCGGTGGCATAGTGGTTAAGGATCTAGATTCCCACATGGCTGACCATAGTTTGAGTCCTAGACCTGGAACCTTGAAAAATCACACTCTGTGTTTGTGTATGTGTGTGTGTGTGTACCTGCCCAAAATCCCAAGAAGAGAATGGAGGAGAAGGGATTGCAGCATGGCCATCCCCCTTGGGGAATGATTACTCATTTTCCCTCTCTCTGCCTCTCTCTCCTGGGCACACACGCCCTGTGGCAAAAACCTAAAAATATAAAAAAATGAAAAATTCTAAAACAAAAACTTCTTCATTTACTTATTAATTATAGTACATTTGTACTTAAATACTAAAATGAGAACAATAGTTATTTAAAACAAACACTAAATAAAACATAATATAGAAAAGGAATTTTATAAATTTTTACCCCATCTTGGTGTCTAGCCAAATCCAAGTTTCTGGAAAGTGCTTTCTGACATGTAAATTGCTACCTGAAGAAAAGTCATGAATATCTACCATGTATCCTTCACTTTCTTCCACAAACTTCTGAGCATACTCTGCAGTGTCATCTAAAAGCAAACGTTGACAACAGTTAAACAGTCACTGGAGAGAGTGAACTGTAAGCTTCAAGCACATCATAGCACCTCATGGTTGAACAGGAATTTAGAGTTGTCTCATCCAACCCTCTCACCTTACGGAGGAGCAATCTGAGACACAGAGAAGTAAAATGATCTATCTGAGGCCATGTGGACAGGAATGATGGATTCAGAATTAAAAAGAAAACAAACAAAAATGTTCCTGTCCCTACAGTAGATATTAGAAAAACTACTGACAGTGTAGCTGCTAAAAAATTTTTTAATTGAATTTTTAACATGAGGTCACATATTTAAAGCCATGTGTAAGTTTCCTACTCTCCTCTTTTTAGCTTCCTATTGAGGATTACCATTGGCTACACCAGCCATAAGATGTTATAATCATCCAATTTGAAAAAGTCATTCTGTCATACTGACTTCAGATCATCTATCTCTATTTTGTCAACTTTTTGTAAATCTAAAATTATTTCAAAATAAATGTAAAAGATGAATTCAACAAACTCCACATATAGTCTACAGAAGAAACAATAGACAACTGTAATAAACATAAGGATGATAAAAGACATATGTAAAAGATTTATTATATAGAAAATGGTTAAATTTTACATGGTATCTGAATGAAGCAAAGGGTATGGCTAGAAAAAATTTTCATTTCCATTACATTCTTTTTTCCTTAAGTCTCCAGATAAAAAACTTTTCATGGGGGGACATGGAGAACAACAGTGATACTAGAGACAGTGCAGGAAGACGGAGGGAAATGGGGGGGGGTGTGAGGGAGGAAATCAAGGGGAAAAAGAAAGAAGCAAAACATTGAAAGGACACAAAATGGGAAAATTATCTGTTGATGATAATATGTATGGTAGTATCTTCAACTGAACCAATATACAGTGAGTTTATAATGGGAAAATTTATTTGGTATGCTGTAATGATACACAGTGACTGAATGTAAATGTGTGTGTGTGTGTGTGTGTGTGTGTGTAAATAAATAATTTTTTAAGTGGATCAAGTACAAAGACATATTTAGAATATGACAATGAGAGTTAGGTAAGAGTAGCATAAATTGAGAAGAGAAAAAATGGTTGGGTCCAGATTTCAAAATATCAAATATCTTATACTAAAAGATATCAAATATCTCATACAGAAAGATGTTTAATCCTATAAACAATGGTAACCCATTGAAGGTTTTTAAATTAACTAAAAACATGACCTAATTCATATTTTATAAAGATAACTCTGACATCAATGTGAACAATAGCTTAGAAACAGGACCAGATGGCATGGTGGTTGGGGTGGTTGGACCTAATGTGGCCAGCTGAAGCTGCTTGAGTTCTGGACTCAGTGGCTTGAAAAATGCCAGGTTTGGGACCAGCAGTTAGCGTAATGGCTATGTCGCTGGACTCCCATGTAGTCGACCGCGGTTCGCGTCCCAGACTCGATGGCTTAAACTCATGCCGGGCACGTGTGCGGGCGTGCCCAAGATCCCGAGAGGAGAATGGAGGAGAAGGGATTGCAGCGTGGCCATCCCCTCTGGAGGGTGATTTCTCACTTTCTGTCTCTCTGTGTCTCTGTCTTTCTGGCGAGTGCACATGCCCAATAAGAAAAAAACCTCTCCAAAAAAAAAAGAAAAGAAAAGAAAAAAGAAAAATGCCAGGTGTGCATAAGTCCCTACCCAGAATCTCAAAATTAGAATGGAAGAAAAGGGATTGTAGCATGGCCATCCCCTCTGGAGGGTACTTTCTTACTTTCTCTCCTCCAACGCCCCCAACAAACACACACACCCTATAGCAAAATTTAAAAAGGAAAAAAAAATAAAAAAGAATGGAGCAAAGGAGGCTGGCAAAACAATAAGTTAGAGGCTACTGAGATGATCAAAGAGACACTGATGAGTGCCTGAAGCCAGGCAGAAGAGAGGAGGGAATAGTCTGAAAAGATGATTCTCCTCCGCCTCTTGGTTGCCACCCTCTCTGTGCACCTAAGGCATGCTAAACTTCCCTCATGACAGCCCTCAGAACACTTCTCTGTCTATATCTTGGTCTATCCCACTAGACCAAGTTAGAATCCTTATCCACCATGCATGTTGAGCATACAATTAATATCATCACTATCTACTGAATAATAAATTAACAAACTGGATCCGAGGAATAAGATAATGGGGAAATAACAGACTTAAAAGTGCCAAACATGGGACCAGCAGTTAGTGTAATGGTTATGTCGCTGGATTCCCATGTAGTTGACTGTGGTTCGAGTCACAGACTCGGTGGGTTAAACTCACATCAGGCGTGTGTGCGTGCGTGCCCAAGATCCCGAGAGGAGAATGGAGGCAAAGGGATTGTGGCAGGGCTATCCCCCCTGGGGGGTGATTTCTCGCTTTCTGTCTCTCTGCCTCTCTCTGTCTTTCTGGAGAGCACACGCACCCTATAGGAAAAACCTCTCAAAATAAAAATTTTTTTTAAACTACTGTAATCATATGAGGTGAACATTCACCTCAAGAAAAAAGAAAAAAATAAAAAGTGCCAAACATGTGCCAATCATTTTGAATTGCTAATACAATACAAGTATATCAAACTGCATTTATAGGTGCTACTTGCAGAGGAGTCTATGCTTTTTTACTTAATCTCAGAACCTCCATATAAGATAAGGAATAATCTTAACCCTACATTGCAGGGGAAAACCAGAGGCTTAGAAAGCTTCATTAGTTTGCTCAGGGTATAAAGTCAGGAGCATTTGAGGGCAAATTCCTTTCTTAATCGCTATGCTATTCCACCTCTGAGAGAAAAAGAGAAAGAAATCAAGGATGAATTCCAGGTTTCTGATTGAGGTATCTGGGTCAATGAATATTTCATTAACGTGAATATGAAATCATATAAATTAAAAGAATTAACACAATCTTATCAAAGAAAAGAAAAGCAAGGCATAAAGAGAGAAGATGAGGAACTTTATCTGTGACATATTGAATTTGAAAATTACAATGTCTGTGTTCAACCAAAAAGTATCCAAACATATATAACTAGTACATGTAAAAACCATCCAGACATATATAGGTAATATTAAATATCTGAGGTAAAAGACAAATATTTTATAAGAATATTTCTGGGGTTTACTTACAAACACCATCAATATAATCCTTTGCAAGGTTTGCATCTGTCAATACCCAGAGGCCACACTCCTGGAAAAAATCATTTTAATATTTTTGAATTAAAGTGTAAATGCACCCAAAATTATCACAGCAGTCTCCCCACTCTTGACTTACTCTTGCTTGTTTTTTAGAGTGTAGGTACATGTATTTTATCTCTCTTTCTCTCTCAACACATACACAAACACATGCATACACACATTAACAAATGCTTGCAGGTGTAAAGTCATTTCAAATTTAAGGAAAGTAATAAAAGGGCTAAAATGATTTATTTAATAAAAATTCCATTAATTTCTCTAAAGGGGAATTTTTCCATTTCCTTTTAAAACTGGAAGGAGAAGTGTCTCTCCATTTCAAATTATATTTCTGTAACAGTGCATTTCAATGGCACATTTAACAAAAGCCTAACATTTCATAATGATAATTATTTCAGACAATGTTTGCAATAATAAAAGATATTAGTATCTTTTCAAACTAAACATACCTGAAAAACTGCAAAAGAATTCATGAACATGCCTAAATAATATCCAGTGTTATAGAGTTCCAACTCATGGACCACCTATAAAGAAGACAAAATATACTGAATGGATGGATCCATATAAACCTATTTGGTCTATGGCAACATTTCTCATAAGTAGCTTCACTAAGACATAGCCCTTTGTGCTTATAAAATGTGAAAATGACACAGACTGAAGAGAAATAATCTAAAGAAACAGTTTGCAAAGTAGAAAATGCAATTATTAAAGAACAGAAAAAATATTCAGCCTCACTGATTAATCAAGGCAATGCAAATTACAACTTTGTGATGTAGTGATTTTTCAATAATGAAATATTTGTGTGCCACATTAGCAATGCTAGCTTTATTAAGAATAGTACTCACTGTTAACAAAAGTGGGCAAAACAGGCTAAAAGAATGCATAAAATTGGCAGTTAACATATAATATGACCTAGAAATCCACTCCTAGGTATAGCTCAATGGAAGTGAAAACAAGGACTCAGAGAGATATCTGTATGTCAATGCTCACTGAAGCATGAGGTACAACAACCCAAAGGGGGAAACGACCCAGGTGACCAGCAGACAATGAACAGACAAACAAAATGTGGTAATACATACAATGAAATACTATGCATCCATTAAAAGAAATAAAATCCTAATACAGGCTCCAATATAGACGAACCTTGGAGACACTGTTGAGTGAAATAAGATAGATGAAGAAGGACAAATATTACATCACTCTACTTATGGGAAATATCTAGAATAGGCAAATTCACAAGACTGAAGTAGATTAGAATTTAACCAAGGATTGGGGAAATTGTCTCTCTTTAGGGTAATGAAAGGGTTTTGGGATAGATAGTGGTGATGGTTGTACAACATCATAAAGTAATTACTGTCACTGAATTGTACACTTCAAAATAGTTAAAATGGCAATTTTTTTAAAAGAGAGAGATCTTTGTTATAGCATGTGCACTCGCCAGAGAGACAGAAAGCAAGAAATCACACCCAGTGAGGATGGCCACACCACAATCCCTTCTCCTCCATTATCATCTCAGAATCTTGGACACGCACACATACATGTCCTGTGTAAGTCTTAAGCCTCTGGGTTTGGGACTCAAACTGCAGTCAGCCATGTGAGAGTCCAGCGACGTAGCCATTACATCATCTGCTAGCCCTCAAAATGGCAAATTTTATGTCACAGGCATAGAGGCCTCCAAGTTTACGATGGGCCCATGTGCCAATAAATCCATCATAAGTTAAAAATGCATTTACTACGCCTAACCTACTGAACATCATAGCTTACCCTAGCACATGTTAAACAAGTTCAGAACACTTTCACTAGCCTAAAGTTGGGCTGAGTCACCTAACACAAAGCCTGTGGTATAATAAAGTGCCGACTATTTCATGTAACTTATTGAGTATAGTCCACTGTGGGGTATAGATGGTTTCCCCTCATGATCACAGGGCTGACTGGAGCTGAAGCTCACTGCCACTGCCCTGCACCAGGAGGGAGGGTGGCACCCTGTATTGGCAGCCTGGGAAAAGATCAAAACTCAAAATTCCAAGTATGGTTTCTTTCTACTGAATTGTCACTTTGGGACCATGGTAAGGTCAAAATGAGTAAGTCCAACCATCATAAGTCAGGGACTGTCTCTATTTACCACAATTTTTTAAAAACGTATTACACCTTTTTAGGTAACTATCTTGATAGTCTCACTTATTTATATCATCATTACCCAGACAAATTAAGATAACAGCAGAATTCAAAACCATGAAAGAACCCAAGTACACATTGAAAAATATATTCTAGCAAAAAACAAAATAAATAAACAATTGTTTCTGCTATGCTAACAATATCCATGGCAAGCAGCCAAGACACTAGAACAGGCATTGGTAAGAAAACAATAGAATAAGAGACAGAAAATTTCATAATGTCTAAACAAGTTGGCAGATATAGTTAGCGTAACTATATACAAGTCGAGGCAAGACATAACAAAGAGGAAAGGTTTTAGGTCCATGACTCTAAACTGTGTCTTGAAATATTGTACAAATACATAGAGATCTGCTTTTGTTCTCACTCAGGTATGAACAGAAGGAAATAATCAAGAAGCATTATCTATCTCATAAAGAAATCCTCCTTTTCTCACTAGCTCAGTAAAAAAGCACTGAGCGGACCAGCAATTGGTGTAATGGCTGTGTTGCTGGACTCCCACGTAGTCAACCATGGGTCAAGTCCTGGGTGGGTTAAACTCATGCTGGGCATGTGTGTGTGCATGCCCAAGATCCTGAGAGGAGAATGGAGAAGAGATTGCGGCATGGCCATCCCACCTGGGGGGTGATTTCTCGCTTTCTGTCTCTCTGGCTCTTTCTGTCTCTCTGGTGAGTGCATGCACCCTATAGCAAAAACCTAAATAAATAAATAAATAAAAATAGAAGCACTGTGAAAGCTGTAGCACAGATTGGTGATGGGAAGGTTAGTGTCTAAAAATTATACCTGAAAGATCTAGTGCACCTGACTTATTCCAAAGAATGAAAGAGGCTCTCAGAAGCACACACAAGCTTAACAAGAAAGATGCCAAAACAGTCTACCACCATGGGCTCCTGGCTCCCTCCTCCAGACACAACTCTGCAGAAACATAAAAACAAGTTGGAAACTTGGATGTGTGTGATAAGGCAAGCCACAACGAGAATGGAGGCTATCAAATTGGTGTTAGGAAAAGGGGGGCGCTGCTCTTTTCTTCCCTGGCTGCCCAGGGACTGACTGCTGTCATGACTCACACAGTAACTATTGTACCAGGAAATCCACGACCAACCAACTACTTCAGGGGAAGCAAATGATCATTGATGGTTTTTACCCTGGGAAGGCAAAAGTACCTAAAGCAGAAATTCGGGAAAAACTAGCCGAGAGGTGCAAGACCACCCAGATGTCATCTTTGTGCTTGGGTTCAGAACCCATTTTGGTGTTGGCAGGATTTTAAATTTCTTGGATTAAGCAAAGAAAAATGAACCCAAACATAAATTTGTAAGACACGGCCTGTCCAAGAAGGAAAAGACCTGAAGAAAATAATGAAAGGAACACAAGAGCAGAATGAAGAACTTCAGGGGACCTACAAAGTTCAATCCTGGTGCTGGCAAAAAGTGAGCTGGAGATTAGAGAATGGTCGAAGGAGTGAAGATTCTGCAATGACCATCTGCGGTGATTGTGCAGATTTTTCATGGAAGGATTAATAAACTAAAAATTTTCATGTAAAAAAATAATAAAAGAAGTAGGTGGCTTCAGTCTTGGGTAGAAGATGACTGGAGGCAGCAATCAGAAGACAGGGTGGAGGAAAGGTTTTATAATCCTCCTCTTACTTATCTCTGGATAGCTTCCTCTGGACAACCATTCCTTGCAACTTCACTGGAAAAAAAAGTCAATAGCAGCAGTAGGGCAGCTCAGACTGCCCCTGTAAGTGTCCTGAGGGTAATATCATGTTGACTGTCTTCCCTCCTAACATGAGAAAGTGAGGAAAACATGTGGACGGACCTTAGGTCCTCAAGCATTCCGTCTTCCTCCCTCCTCCTCCAGGCCCTAAGGGCTGGTGGGTCATGACGTCAAGAAGACTGTCTTTTCCAGGTGCTACTTTCTCCTAAGAATTCAAGAGTGCAACTCTGATGAAGGGCAGGCAGCAGAGAAGATCAAGAGTAATTTTCTAGTCCATGAAGTCGACCCTCCTCTTCTTTAAACTTGCATTACTTACACAAATTAGAGCCTGATGTTCAGCTTTCCCTAACAGACATTATCAAAGGAGCTGCCAAATCAACCAGTCTTTCAAGAAATGTAAGTACTACAAAAAAAAAATCCAACTAGACAACAGACAGTGTGTAAGGCAGACTTATTCAAAGAAGTCAGCTCAAGAATTTAAAAAGAAGTAAAATACATACATAAGGAGAGAAGGGGAAATGTTAGCAATATGAGACAAGAACAAAAAAATAAGAACCAACTAAAAAGAATAGATATTCAAAGTATAATAGCTGATGTAAAGGACACAAAGAGAGCAACGGAGGACAAATACAGCTGATGGACGTCAGTGAGCTGAGAGAGGAGTCAGTGGGGGTACTCTCCCAGAGAAACACAGAAAAGACAAAGATAGACAACACAAACAAAAGGCTAACAGATAGGGAGGGTGGAAGAAGCAGTGCCAATTTCTGAATAACAAGCCCCTCAAAAAAAAAAGAAAAAAGAACATGAAGAAGAGATTTTATGTGCGGTGTGTAAACAAACAAACATGGAAACACAGGGAGCCAACAGGTGCCATATAGTGGTTAAGACACTGGACTCCCACATGATCGACCATGGTTTGAGTCCTGGACCCAGAGGTTTGAAACACAGTTGTGTGCATGCATGTCCAAAATCCCAACAGGAGAATGGAGGAGAAGGGATTGTGGCATGGCCATACCCCAGGGGGTGGAGGGGCAGAGGAATGGGTAACTTCTCACATTCTCTCTGTCTCTGTCTCTCCAGCTAGCACACATGCCCTACAGCAAAAATCTCTCAAAAAAAAAAAAAAAGAAAGAAAACACAAATTTCCAGAATTAAAGAATTTAAAAAGAACACAGTTTGAAAGGGTAATTCATAATGACATAGTACTAAAATCTGTATAATAGCAACATGATCTGGTCAGGGATAGAGGGTTGGAAGGGACAGAGACCAAAAGGATATAATATCATATTTAAGATGTTTGTCTTATTGGCTGAAGATACAAATATTGATAATCTTAAGAAATAGGTAAAAATAAACAGGGGTCACCAGGTAGTGTAGCAGTTAAAGTGACCGTGGTGACCAGCAGCTTGAAAAGCACACAGGGTGTGTGTGCTTGCATTCCCAAAGTCCCAAGAGGAAAATGGAAGAGAAGGGGCTGTGGCATGGCTATGGCCCTCAGAGTTGATTTCTCTCTCTCTCTCTCTCTCTCTCTCTCGTAAGAATGCATGCCCTACAGCAAAAACCAAATAAGTAAATAAATAAATAAATGTATAGTTCATGAGTTAAAGGCACCTAACATAGTAACAGAAATAGAATGCATAACTTCTAAGCCTACAAAACAAAATTTTACAGTCCATGGAAGGAAAACAAAACAAAGAGAGTAGTCTAAATTTAAAAGTAAAATTAAATAGCAGAGAAAAGTCCTACTTAGAACAAGAACTGGTGGACACTGGTGCAGTGTTGCTCAGTGTGGTGCCACCACAGCAGAGCTACTGCAGTTCCAGGTGCAGGAGACTGTGGACTCCAAGGTGCAGAGTCTGGAGTGAGAGACCATCTGGAAGATGCAGTGCTGCTGTGAGGACAGCCAGGCATCCATGCAGCAGGTGCACCAGTGACATGCACCTCTGGCCTATGCTCAGGCCTTGGTGACCAACAAGCCAGAGTCCCAGGACTGCCTGGCCAGTGCCATACATCGTAACAACAAAGCCAAAGAATCAATAGATGGAGAGAGTAAAGAGCCTCAGGTGAAGTGGCAACTGGACAGTGTGTTTCCAACTGTGTGGATGGCCACGTGCACCTCATCCCAACTATGACCAAGAAGATGAAGGAATCACTGTCATCTAGGAAAATAAGAAGCCTTCCCAGTGACATTCAATGATGAGAGTATTGATTGATTGATTTTTGAGAACACTATGCATGTCATCATCAATAGGTAATAAACCATTTCTGTGTCCCACAAATGTCTTACCTTTCTATTTTTTTCTCCATCATT